GCCCCCTCCCCCCCCCCCCCCTACCCCCCTGCCCTTCGCCCCACCCCCCCCCGACCGCCCCCCCTACCCCCCACTTTCTCCCCCACACTTCAAGACCGCAATGAGGCATCAAAGAGGGCCACCCACACCTGCTACCCCCCCCACCTGCTTCAGCTCCTAAGCTGTTTGGGTCCTGGTGCTACCCCCTACCCCCCCCCCACGTTTCACAGAGGCGCGAGCGTTTCACAACTTTTTGGGATTCTGCCGAGCAGGCTGCGATGCTCTTCGAACCATGCGATGAGGAAAGCGTCCTTCGAGCCGACGAGCGGGTTTAGACCTTTCAACTATGCTCTGGCGGGGTCGGCGGCTTGAGCCGGAGGCTCTTAAATTTAGGGTTTAGGGTTTAGGGTTTAGGGTTTAGGGTTTAGGGTTTAGGGTTTAGGGTTTAGGGTTTAGGGTTTAGGGTTTAGGGTTTAGGGTGCATGCAGGGTCGATCTGAGGCTCAAGCCGTCGAGCGGTCTCCGAGGAAGAGCTGCACGAAGTCCAGGACGCTGAGGGCTTGGTTCTTCCCGCAGTTCACGTTGTAGGGAAGGTTGTGCATAGGTGTCCTGGTTTAGGGTCTAGGGTTAAGGGTTTAGGGCTTAGGGCTTAGGGTTTAGGGTCTAGGGCTTAGAGGGTTTAGGGCTTAGGGCTTAGGGCTTAGGGTTTAGGGTTTAGGGTTTAGGGTTTAGGGTTTAGGGTTTAGGGTTTAGGGCTTAGGGTTTAGGGTTGAGGGTTGAGGGTTGAGGGTTGAGGGTTGAGGGTTGAGGGTTGAGGGTTGAGGGTTGAGGGTTGAGGGTTGAGGTTGAGGGTTGAGGGTTGAGGGTTAGGGACAAGCCCTTCACTTGAAGACCCCCAAAACCCCAAACCCCTAACCCGGGAAGAGCCTGCTCCTTGAAGTTTACTCAGAAGTTCAGGCGCTGCTGAGGGAAAAGGGATGTTTATGTCACTCAAGTTGGTTACTAAACCCGAAACCCTAAACCCGAAACCCTAAACCCGAAACCCTAAACCCTAAACCCCAAACCCTACACCCTAAACCCTAAACCCTACAACCCTAAACCCTACACCTTACTAAACCCCCCAAAAAAAACAATCCAGGCTCAGGCTCCCCATACCGATCACGGACTGCAGTCTCCAAAGCATCCAGGGCAGCTCTCCCGGAAAGAGCTGCTGCTCCACCTGCCCGGTCTTAGGCTCTTAGGGTCTTAGGGGTTTGGGGTTTAGGGTTTAGGGTTTAGGGTTTAGGGTTTAGGGTTGAGGGTTTAGGGGTTTAGGGTTTAGGGTTTAGGGTTAGGGTCTCAGGGGTTTAGGGCTTCCGGGGTACACTAACCTAAACCCTACTAAACCCCAAAACCCTAAACCCTAAAACCCTAAAACCCTAAACCCTAAACCCTAAAACCCTAAAACCCTAAAACCCGAAACCCTAAACCCTAAACCCTAACACCCTCAACCCTAACCTGACCTTCCCCCCTTTGAGATCCTTGGCCTTGCCAGCTTCGCACTTCTCGGGCGCCACGACCGTGAGGCTGTCGGTGGCCAGGCACTCGTCGGACGGAAGCTTGAAGACTCGGTTGTGCCTCAGAGAGCGGGGAGGAAAGGGCTTCCGTTATTTAAGGTCGAGCTTAGGGCCCTAAACCCTAAACCCTAAACCCTAAACCCTAAACCCTAAACCGCCTAAACCCTAAACGATTCGGGTTTAGGCATGAACTAACATAACCCCGAAATCCACCAAACCTCGCAAACCTTACAGTTGAACCCCATCAACAAAATCAAAAGTGACCATCAGCTTAACCAAATTCCGATATTAACACTGAGACCTTCTACGCATGCCATGTTTCGGCTCGTGGCGAAGGGAAAACCCTAAGCCCTAAGCCCGACAAGCCCCTCAACCCTAAGCCCTAAACCCTAAACCCTAAACCCTAAGCCCTAAACCCTAAACCCTAAACCCTAGACCGAGTTTGGGTTCTTACGGCTCTGATGCTCAGGGGTCCCACCAGAGACAAGCCGCAGGTCCGACTGCGGCAGGGCTTCGGCGCGGATCCAGGATGTGCAGGTGGAAGCAGGACGCCTTTGCTCTTGGGGTTTTTCGGGGTTTGGGGTTTAGGGTTTAGGGTTTGGGGTTTAGGGTTTGGGGTTTTAGGGTTTGGGGTTTCGGGTTTAGGGTTGGGGGTTTACAGCTTAGGGAAGCGCCGTCCGTGTCAGGGGTGTCGCGTTGAAGCCTCGGGGCTTGGACTTGTTTGTGAACACTTACGGGCAACTTAAAGGTTTAGGGTTGAGGGTTTGGGGTTTGGGGTTTAGGTTTACGGTTTGGGATTTAGGAGTTACCACGGATACCTGTTTAAGGCTTCCAAAGAACGATTACAGAAGGGAGATACAAACACCCCTAAAACCCTAAACCCTGAACCCTAAACCCTAAACCCCGAAACCCTAAACCCTAAGCTGCTGAACAGCACATCATAGGACAGGAGGCGCATACATGAAAGGCCTCTCCACCTCGCGCAGCAGTCAGGATCCGCGGGGCTTAGGGTGAACTCTAAACTCGAGGCTTCAGGGTTTAGGGTCTAAGGCTTAGGGTTTAGGGTTTAGGGTTTAGGGTTTCGGGTTTAGGGCTCAGGGCTTAGGGCTTAGGGCTTAGGGCTTAGGGTTTAGGGTTTAGGGTAATACCCTGAACCCTTAACCCCTAGGAGCAGGTTGCTAGAAGATCATCAGCTTGGATTTCAGATTATAAGGTACCAGGCTCTGTGGGCTTAAAGGGTACAGCGTTAGAGCTGGACACTTAGGCTTTGGAGATTAAAGAATAGGGTTCAGTGTTTAAAGTTTTGGGTTAGAGTTTAGGCTTAAGGGGCTCAAGATATGTCATCTATGTTTTTCTTATTTAGGGCATTGATCCGAATGAGCCCTTCCTGAGATTTTGCCATTAGGGTCTGGGGTTGAAGGTTTCGGGCTTAGGGTTCAGATTCGACATCGAAGGGCTGGGGCTTGGGACAGACCTTTCGTTCACAGTGCTTTGCGGGGGAGGAGGAGGGGGAAAGGCAAGCCAGTGTTCTCTAACGTTCCGGCTCCCTACCCTATGTCCAAAACCCTAACCCCAAAACCCCAAAACCCTAAACCCCCCATGAGCCCCAAATGCCATGAGCCACCCAAACCTGTGGACTTTAGGGTTCAGGGCGCTGTAAATTATATAAATTTAGGGTTTAGGGTTTTGGGTTTGGGGTTTCGGGTTTTGGGTTTAGGGCTTGGGGTTTGGGGTTTGGGGTTTCGGGTTTAGGGTTTAGGGCTTAGGGTTTAGGGTTTAGGGTTTAGGGTTTAGGGTTTAGGGTTTAGGGTTTAGGGTTTAGGGTTTAGGGTTTGCTGTGATATGGCGCAGAAGCTGCAGAGTAGCCTCGAAAGATGCGAAAGGCAGCTGTGGCCCGATTGGGAGCCATCTAAACCCTAAACCCTCAACCCTCAACCCTAAACTCTAAACCTAAACCTAACATTTTCCTCCCACCCAACATCGTCTCAGGCGGCAAAGCCACGCCACCCTAACCTATTCCGCGTAGGGTTTCGGCCTAAACTCACTTCAATTCCTCCATCCAGGGGTTGAGGGGCTTCCTCCTAAAAGCCCGGATTTAGAGTCTGTGGGGAGTACCCCAGGATTCGGGGAAAAAAGTGGCCACATCCCATCATACTTACGCACAGATTTCGGTGGCAGGAACGAACCCTAAACCCTAAACCCTAAACCCTAAACCCTCCCTAAACCCTAAACCAGACTTTGGGGCTTTCAAGTAGGGGGTCCAAGTTTAGGGTGCAACATAAACACTACTAGGAGGTTCATGGTACTGATCAACCAATCACAACTGTACTTATGACTGTACCTATATCCATATCAGGGCACTTAAGGGAATTATAAGTGGGCTATAAGTACAGTTATAATTGGTTCATAAGTACCCTAAACCCTAAACCCTAAACCCTAAACCCTAAACCCTACCATGAACCTCCAAGCACAAACCCTGCATCCATGAGGGTTCGAGGAAAATGGAAAAACGGAAGTTGCACCTCGACGTCCTTGCCCGCCTGGTGAAGGGCTTGGAGGGTTTCGGGTTTGGGTTTAGGGTTTAGGGTTTAGGGTTTAGGGTTTAGGGTTTAGGGTTTAGGGTTTAGGGTAGGGTTTAGGGTTTAGGGTTTAGGGTTTAGGGTTAGGGTTTAGGTTAGGGTTTAGGGTTTAGGGTTTTAGGGTTTAGGTTTTTAGGGTTTAGGTTTCGGTTTAGGGTTTTAGGGTTTAGGTCCTAAAAGCCCCAAACCCTCTCAACGCCTTCGGGGCTTTGGAGCAATTTGGGGGGGGGGGTTAGGTTTAGGGTTTAGGGTTTAGGGTTTAGGGTTTAGGGTTTAGGGTTTAGGGTTTAGGGTTTAGGGTTTAGGGTTTAGGGTTTAGGGTTTAGGGGGCTTTCGGGGTTTCGAAACTTGGGGATTGGGACGTTTTAGCAGTTTAGGGGCTGAGGGGGGTGTTCGGGGTTTTGCTCATCTACAGGTCCCTGAATGTGGGGGGACCCTATTCTATAACCCTTATATACACTTCATCTCATAAGGGCCCATACTTCGGATCCCTATAGAGGAGGGTAAGGGACCACGCTAAGGGCCCATGCTTCAAACTTTAGACTCCAGGGGTTTTGGGGGGTTTTGGGTTTGGGAGGGGGGTGTACTTCCTGAACCCCTAAACGGCCTCTCCTGCCCAAACAAAAGAAAAAAACTCCATCAGGATGCTACAGCCCTAAACCCTACACCCCAAACCCTAAACCCTAAACCCTACAGTGTGCGCTTCTGCCTTAATCCTGCACCCTAACCCTAAACCCTACACCCTAAACCCTAAACCCAAAAACCCAAAAACCCTAAACCCTACACCCTAAACCCTAAACCCAAAAACCCAAAAACCCTAAACCCTAAACCCTAAACCCTAAACCCTAAACCCTAAACCCTAAACCCTAAACCCTAAACCCTAAACCCTAAACCCTAAACCCTACCCTGCACCCTAAGCCTGCCTTCACGGCGCTTTTCGGGATCTTGACCTTGGAGTTGCCGGTGTCCGGGCCGCTGTACTGCAGCTTCAGGGTCTCGCCCCCGCCCCTGTTCAGAGGTTTTTAGGGTTTAGGGTTTAGGGTTTAGGGTTTAGGGTTTAGGGTTTAGGGTTTAGGGTTTAGGGTTTAGGGTTTCGAGAAGTGCAGTTATTATTGGCTTACTAAGTACCGAGAGGCCCAGGGTTTGTCACTGCACTTCTGACCCACTTGTCAGCCCCTGAAGTGCCCTGATGTGATTATAACTGAAGAACAAGTACAGTTAGAATTGGGTTCTTAAGTACCATGAACCTCCAAGTAGCCCTAAACCCTAAACCCTAAACCCTCAACCCTAATCCCTAAACCCTAAAACCCTGGGCCTCTCGCACATCTCCACCCTCAGCTTGTGGCCACCATGGCTCAGCGTCTGCTCGATGCTGGCCCGCTCCTGCGGCCCGTGGCAGCCGTTGTTGTCGACGATCCTCTTCCCATCCAGGTAGAGCATGGAGCCTCCGGAAGCCCTAAACCCTAAGCCCCAACCCCTAAACCCTAAGCCCTAAGCCCTAAACCCTAAGCCCTAAACCCTAAACCCTAAACCCTGAAACCTAACGTGAGCTTTGAGAGAGAAAAGCTTCTGCTCACACGTGTCTCTCCAAGGCCCCCGGCCGTCGTCCGAGGTGGTGTAGAAGTTGTACTTGCCCGGCTTCTTGACGACCAGGCTGCCCTGGCACCTGCTTCAGAGCCCAAAGCACGGCTGTTTATGTGTTTTTTGTGCTTCAGACTTTAGGGTTTAGGGTTGAGGGTTAAGGGTTTAGGGCTTAGGGTTTAGGGTTTAGGGTTTAGGGTTTAGGGTTTAGGGTTTAGGGTTCAGGGTTCAGGGTTTAGGGTTCAGGGTTTAGGGTTTAGGGTTTAGGGTTTAGGGTTTAGGGTTTAGGGTTTAGGGTTTAGGGTTTAGGGTTTAGGGTTTAGGGTTTAGGGTTTAGGGTTTAGGGTTTAGGGTGGTTCAGGGTTTAGGGTTTAGGGTTTAGGGTTTAGGGTTTAGGCTTTAGGCTTTAGGCTTTAGGGTTTAGGGTTTAGGGTTTAGGGTTTAGTGTGAACCCTAAACCCGAAACCGTCCCAGCCCCGAACTTAAATCAAGGCCGCACCCGCTCTGCCCCACCTGACGCAGAAGTTGTTGGTTTGCTGGACTTTCGGCCACTTTCCGCTATCCTGTCAAGAGACGCACGACCCTAACCCTACTGTGCTGTGGTTTTGTGGATAGCGCATGCAACGGTGACTGCCCGAAAACACCGAAAAATGCGAAAACTTTATTTTTTGTGTTAACTGAAAGATGCGAAAACTTGAAAGATTGAATTGTCGAATGTCTGTTTCGTGTCCACAGAAAAAGGCGCGAAAACTTGAAAATTCTAGTTTTTGAATATTCATTCGAATGTTAGAACTTTGTCAACAGAAAAAACGCGAAAACTCAAACCTTCGACGTGTTGAATGTGTGAATTTTCATTTTTTGAATTTTGTTTTTTTATAATTTTGGATTTTTCGATGTTGAGCGTTTTGGAAGTTTTGAATTGTCGAATGTGTTAATTTTTCAGTTAACACAAAAATCCAAATATCGATTGTTTCGAGTTTTCGAATGCGCGTCGCCTTCGTCGTGTGACGCGGAAACTACAGCTTAGTAGGCCCTAAAACCCCAAACAGATACTCTTAGTTGTCCAGTACCCAGGGGAACTAACGGTTAACCTTTGGGATTACAAGGGGGATTCTATGACCCCAAAAAGGTTAAAGGTTACCTCTTCTACTACTAAGTACTTACACGGCCCGGTCCCAGAAGATCTCGTCGACGACCTCTGTATGCTTCGGGGTCCTCGCAGAGACGTCTTGCGGAAGGCCTTTAAAGGGGAGAAAAACCCTAAAACCCCCCACTGAAACCCGAACACTGCCTTGAAAGCACTCCCCCCAAAACCCGCCCCCGGCAAATCGAAGTCTTGCCGGGCGTCTGGGCTCCGAGATCCGGGATGGAACAATCGTTGTTGCCATAGAAGTATTCGCACTCGAAGCCGTCCTCAGCTGCTCTCTTGAACACTCCTCTTCTTTTTAGGGGTTGGGGCTTAGGGTTTGGGGTTTGGGGTTTGGGGTTTGGGGTTTAGGGTTTAGGGTTTAGGGCTTAGGGTTTAGGGTTTAGGGTTTGAACATTTGGGGCTTTGTTGGGTTTAGGGCTCGAGTTGGGGTGTTCCCCCTTCTACTAACATGTCCTCAATAGGGACTCTCATGGGGGTTTAGGGTTTAGGGTTTAGGGTTTAGGGTTTCGGGTTTCGGGTTTAGGGTTTAAGGTTTAGGGTTTAGGGTTTAAGGGGGGGTAGTATAATCCCTATGAAGAACTGCTAGTATAAGGGGTACATCATGTCTCAAATTTGGGGCTTAGTTGGGTTTAGGGTTAAAGCATAAAGGGTTCCTGTGGCACCCCATTCCATTGGGGAATCACCCCAAACCCTAAACCCTAAACCCCAATCTTCTGGCAGGGCCCAGCGTCCTCGAGGTATGCCGGGTCGGCGTTGACCGCCTCCCAAGCCCGAGCCACACCCAAACCCCAAAGTGCCAGCGCAAGGAGAGCCCGGGAGAAACACGAGGCCCAGAACCCCACTTCACCTGAATCCTGCCCGGCACTCCATAAACCCTACACCCTACAGCGTCCTCTTCTGTAAAACCGCCTCCCCCCCCCCCCCAAACAAAAAAACAAAAAAATGGTAGCCATAACCGTCTCTTGGCCTCGTAGCTGCGGTCACAAGGGTGCGCACCCTGAGCCCTAAACCCTAAACCCTCAACCCGAAACCCTAAAACCCGAAACCCTAAACCCTAAACCCTAAACCCTAAACCCTGAACCCGAAAACCCAGCAGCTTGGAGCAGCTGCTCGAGCTTGGGTTCTGACACCATAGGGTTCAGGGTTTAGGCTTTAGGGCTTAGGGCTTAGGGCTTAGGGTTTAGGGTTTAGGGTTTAGGGTTTGGGGTTTAGGGTCTAGGGTTTAGGACATGGTGGCTGCCTTACTTTCACAAAGGCAAAAAAAACCCAAAGCGGCGGAGGCCAAGGACCTTAGCACAGGGCCACAGGGAAAGAGAAATAGATGTACGACAGCACCAGGCGTTGCCTGGAGACTTGGAGGTCTCTAGGTAGCTGTGTTAGGTGGTTCTTGGGCTAGAAGCCCTAAACCCTAAACCCCAAACCCCAAACCCTAAACCCCAAACCCCAAACCCTAAACCCTAAACCCTAAACCCCTAAACCCTAAACCCCTAAACCCTAAACCCTAAACGAGAGCCATCCGCCCACCTACCCCTCAGCAGGGTTCGGTGCCTTCTCGAGACAAAACTTCGAGGGCGCGTAGAGGTGGTTGCTGGCACCGATCTCGGAGTAGACCGCGAGGTACATCTTGTTGAAGTAGTACAGCTCCTGGGGGCGAACTTAGGGTTTAGGGCTTGGGGTTTGGGGTTTGGGGTTTAGGGTTTAGGGTTTAGGGTTTTGGGTTTAGGGTTTTGGGTTCAGGGTTTAGGGTTCTGGGTTCCTCAACCCTAAGGCTTAGGGTTCTGAGGAGCGGCAGCCGGGGACGGAAACATGTGTAGAACGAAGTCAGTGCGGGGAGCAGTAGGGGTCTAGGGTTTAGGGTTTAGGGTTTAGGGTTTAGGGTTTAGGGTTTAGGGTTTAGGGTTTAGGGTTTAGGGTTTAGGGGAACCTTGGGTTAGATACCCCCTTGAACCCCCCCCTCCCTGAAGAACACCATAACAGTACTTGAAGGTTCATGGTACTTACTAACCAATTATAACTGGGCTTATAACCCTACTTATAATTGGGATAACCCCTATAAGGTTCTTTAGGGGTATTATAAGTAGGGTTATAAGTACAGTTATAATTGGTTAGTAAGTACCATGAACCTTCAGGTACCGATCTCGCCTGCTGCCGCCGCTGGTCCAACGACATGTAGCCTCGGTCACAGGGCTTAGCATGTAGGACTTGGGGGTTTAGGGTTTAGGTTTAGGGTTTGGGGCTTAGGGTTTAGGGTATATAGGGTATAGGGTTTAGGGTTTAGGGTTAGGATTTGGGGATCGAAAATAAGGGGCCCAAGAATAGACCCCCCAAATCGGAGGATTCGACCCGACAAGGTACCCCAAATTTCGAAAAACCGCCATTTGGGGGCTTAGAGTTTAGTGCTCACTGGGCTCACCTTCCAGCCTTCCTACCTCGGCAAAAAAAAACTCTCCAAACGAAGCTTAGGGCTTAGGAAAGTACAGAATTTAGGTTTTAGGTCTTTGGGGTTTAGGGTTTAGGGTTTCGGGTTTAGGGTTTCGGGTTTAGGGTTTAGGGTTCAGGGTCACGCTCGGCCCAACAAATCTGGGGCAGGGAGCCTGGCTGTGCCACTTGCACACAGCTCCGGCACGAGAAGCTCGACTCAAGGCTTTTGCCCGTGGACCCAAGCCACTGGCCGTTCATGCACTTCAGGGTCTCCTCCGCCGAAGCCTGCCCCTGGCCGGATGAACGGTTTAGGGTTTAGGGTTTAGGGTTTAGGGTTTAGGGTTTAGGGTTTAGGGTTTAGGGTTTAGGGTTTAGGGTTTAGGGTTTAGGGTTTTGTGTTTTGGGTTTAGGGTTTAGGGTTGGGGTTTAGGGGTATCCCAAACCCCAGCCTACTCCAGAAGACCTCCATGGGCACCCGCAAGCCCCAAACCCTAAAGCCTGGACTTTGCTGACGACATTGGCGCCCATAAACCGTATGAACCCTGCAAACCCTGCAAAATCCGACAAGACCCCTGTAAGACCCTAAACCCTAAACGCCTGAACCTTGCACCCTAAACCCCTAAACCCTAAACCCTAAACCCTAAACCCCAAACCCTAAACCCCTAACCCTAAACCCCTAAACCCTAAACCCCTGAACCCTAAACCCTTAAACCCTAAACCCCTAAAGCCTAAACCCCTAAACCCCAAACCCCTAAAGCCTAAACCCCTAAACCCCAAACCAGCCTGACTGAGACCTGCGTAGCGCTCGCTCCAGCAGCGCACGCGGAGGTCCTGGCCGTGCTGGAAGGATGCCGGGAGCTGCCTCCTGAGCTGTAGGGTTTAGGGTTTAGGGTTTAGGGTTTAGGGTTTAGGGTTTAGGGCTTAGGGTTTAGGGCTTAGGAGGGTTCAGGGTTTAGGGTTTAGGGCTTGGGGTTTGGGGTTTGGGGCTTGGGGTTTGGGGTTTGGGGCCCGAGGGGTTCGGCATATTGGGCTATGCCTTAAACTTTAACTTATGGTTTGGTTTTTGCGGGGCTTCGACCCTATTCAGAAACCCTAAACCCTAAACCCTAAACCCTAAACCCCAAACCCTAAACCCTAAACCCTAAACGTCGAGGCGCTTGTGCTGCCAGCTGTGTTGCTCGGGATCACGGAAGACTGGCCAGGAACAGGTCTCCACGCCCATCCCGCCCAGCAGCATCTGCGAGTCACACTGTTCCTTGGAACATGTGGCCTTCATAGGGTTTAGGGT